AAAACAACAAGCACAGTAGAGCACACATAACCAAGGCAGCCATAGTCAGCGCCAATTTGCACAGTTCTTGCTATGCTGCTTTCCAGGGCACCCATGTAAAGAGGTTGGTAACCTCAAATGAATTTCCCCTGGTAAAATATTGGTTAAATAAATAAATAAATAAAATACATTTTCAGCCATGTAACTAGTTAATACCAAATTGCCAATCCTTGAGTTTGAATTATGCACCTTTAGATTTGTTAGAAACTTTGATTGTCCTATATTAGGACTAAATATTTACAATCACCATTTTCTTCTTAGAAAATCCTTATACTATTATGGCATGAACTATTGCGTAAGACTTGGGCACCACCACAGAAAAGCATGCCATGGGCGCTTTAATTTCAGCTGTAGTTCCCTCTGTTGCAGCAATGCTGTCACACACCAGTCATACAAACATTTGTCCAAAAACAGATTGTTGATTGATAGGTCATTCCTGTTGACAGATTACATTTCAGTTTGAGCAGTTTGAGACCAAGTTGCCACTCTGTTTTTTTTAGTGCACCATTGTTTTTACATTAATTCTGTTATGTCACCTTTTTTTACATTCATTTGGCTTAGGTGGGTGTAAATCTAAAGTGAACTCAGTTGAACTGAACTTGCATTGCTTTAAAATGAACTGACTTGAAATAAGGGGGCAAAAAAAAACCAAACCTGTAGTGAACTCTGTTTTTTGTCGTTCATATTATCTGTTGGAGTTTTGTGTGAAATTATGCTTTATTTTAATGTGCTTAAATATATGAGAATATTATCTTTGGCAACTGTGTATACTTTCTGTCTAAGGTCACTTAATGTGTATATTTAGTCCCCATGCCAATGTTATCTCACAAGTGTACAGCGCAACGAACCACAACAGCATAAATTAATTTGAACTTCTCAGAATCAGAATCTGCTTTATTGGCCAGGTGTGTTGGACACACAAGGAATTTGACTCTGTTACATCGGCTCTCAATGTGCAAACAGTAAACCAGCATAAGGCTGTGTAATATAACAAAAATAAGCAGTATTTACAAGCAACAGAAAGCGCAAACAATGCAGAATAAGCAGTATAAACAGACAGTAACAATGCAGACAACAAGGGAATGTTCATTGAAATGAGATAAATAGGGATAAAACAGAGTACTTAAGAACTGGAGACCTGTACAAGTCTGTATAATCTGTACAATGTATATACACAGGTATTGCACTGAGGTTTACTGTCCAATCATATGGTCATTGGTTAAGTGTTCATCAGAGTGACAGCCAGGGGGAAGAAACTCTCCCTGTGCCTGAGGGGTCAGCAGTGATCCTCTCCGCCCTCCTTTTGACCCGTGCGATGTACAGGTCCTCGATGGAGGGCAGGCTCACACCAATGATCTTTTCTGCAGTCCTGACTGTCCGCTGAAGTCTGTACTTGTCCTGTTTAGTTGCTGAGCCAAACCAGATAGTGATGGAGGTGCAGAGAACAGACTCGATGATTCCTCTGTAGAACTGTATCAGCAGCTCCCGGGGCAGGTCGAACTTCCTGAGCTGGTGCAGGAAGTACATCCTCTGCTGTGCCTTCTTGGTGATGGTCCTGATGTTGGACGTCCACTTCAGGTCCTGGGAGATAGTGGAGCCCAGGAACTTGTAGGACTTTACTGCTGATACAGTGCTGCCAAGGATGGCAGGGTTTTTCCTAAAGCCCACTGTCATTTCCACTGTTTTGAGTGTGTTCAGCTTCAGGTTGTTGCAGCTACACCACAGGACCACCTGCTCAACCTCCCGTCTGTAGGCTGACTCGTCA